TACTTTTTTACAGAAGTAATTGACTGGATGGTGAAGAGTAAGATGGAAGTTGATGCTGTTGACATTGCCTACACTTGTGGAATTGAGGATCAGATCAATCCTCAGAAACTTTTGATATCATTTTTACGAGAATCTAAAGAATCTTCTAACAAGAGAAAAAAGGCAGCACTGGGTTCCCCAGCTGCGGTGGTGAGTAGCTTATCTTCTGTTCATTATAAAATTAAGCTTGTTATAGGCATTCTCCTTTTATTTTCAAGTTAATCGAGCTGTTCAATAATGCTGTGCAGAATGAATCAAACAAGAAACGATTGTCTGGTCTGAAATCAGTAGTCAAGTGTTTGGAAAGTCACAACGTTGACCCTGCGAAGCTTCTTCCTGGATGGCAAATCAGCGAGATGATTACCAGCTTGGAGAAAGAAATTGCCGAGTTAAATAAGAAAACAGCAGAGACAGCAATCCAAAAGAGAAAAGTCAATGAAACCGAGTCATTTAAGAAATTCAAAAACCATGAAGTAAAACGTTCACGCTTAGATGGAGTTCCAAACCACTTGCATAGCTATTATGCTCCCCCGTCTTTGTATGCACCTGGCCCAGGATCTTTAGCCGAGAGTATGGTCGGCTCGGTAGCCGGGACTGCAGGAGCCGTGCTCACCGGGGGACCAGGTGCTGGTGTATCAGCAGGCGCACACACTGTATTACACACAGGCCCTTATGCCGGGGTTCATGGAGGGATGGTACTCGATCATGCTGATATAATCAGCCACAACAGACCCGATCCCGCTGATATACTCGGTCACAACAGTCATATATACCGGTTGCACGGTGATACAGCCATGTACGACAGAATCGGGTCTCAGATCCACGCATACGTGCCGTCATCCTCCTTGGAAAGTTCCATAGCGTTTCGAACTGCTGCAGCTGCAGCGGCAGCAGTTGGCGGCCCAGGTAGGACCGCCGCTTCTGATCCCTATCAGCAGCACCCTGATGGCGTGGAAACTGAAGTGTACCAACGCGCAGCTGGGGGTGTTCCTGCTCATCATACATCATACATGCTCTGACTTGTTATGTTTTAGACCGGAGAAGTATTTATTCTCTTCTTTTATAACTGATGTAGCATATCCATTGTAGCAGGTCAGGTGCTTAGTGTTTTTTGGAAGTTACCATAAGATTCAAGTTACATTTTATTGCAGATCATCACAATTGAAAATTGAAATATTGAGCACAATTTCCTCTGAGTTTTATTATTCTGATTCTGAATTTCTGGTGATGCCTCCAGAAATGGAACCAGCAATCTTTTGATAGGGTCATGTATTTTCCTAAATTCCAAGAACCTTGAATCTAGGCAAATTTTTACGTAGATTAAAGAGTTAATTCTAGCAATGGTCCTCTGACTATGTTGATTTTTCACAATTGGTTTTCGACTTTTAATTTGGACAATCTTTCGAAATCTTTCCAATGTTGATCCTTCCGTCAAATGAAGGTTAAGTAGACGTCAAATGGAGGGACAAAACAGTCCTTTAACATGCTAAGTGTATAATTCTCCTCTGTATAGCCAAATAAATCAAAATACCACCGCCCCAATGTCGGCAACCATGTGGGCGGTTTCTCCGGCACCGAAAAACAAAATTCAACTAGAATGCATTCAATCTGGTGGAGCTGGTATTGAAGTAGTAGTTTTTATGGTTTAACATAGATGAAGGCTTGAAGAAGGCACTTTGCAACTTGTACTTGTTCTAGTGTGCTTGATATAATCACCTTTCCACTGTTTTCTCCAGGATGTGGAACTTGCATTGTGATCTGGGCGCCTGAGCTCTAAGAAGTATAATTGGGGGAAAAAGGTGAGGAAACGGTAAAAACCAACTAATAGTACTAATAATAGAATAGTAGTAGAAAGCTAAAAGACTAGCGAGAAGGTAAATTGGGCTTTTACCTCTTTCAATATGGTGAGACTGGAACCTTCGAGGCCATATACAGGATGCATCTTTGTTCTGGAACCACAATCTCCACAGTTTTATTTGTTGCTCCTTTCACATCCATGTTGTCATTCATCCTCTGAGGAAGAAACCCCTCTAAAAAGTGAGGTCACTGTGGAACTCAACTTAAAAGGAATGGAAATACTGACCTACAAAGTGACCAAGAGATGTCTTTTTACCTGTTTGTTGGACAACAGTTTATGAGGATCACTGAGGTTGGGCACAACAGTTTATGAGGACCATCGAGCTTGGGCACAAAGCGGCAGAACATTCTAGATGTTGCCGTTCACCTCTGGCGGCAGCGACGGACAACACTGTCGGTGACGCCCCATCACAGACCCAGATGTGGCCGTTCTCCAACAACAATTCAAACCAAACTCTCCAGTCCCACTTACAGTTCACGTCGCGCTTCAATTTCCCGGCGAACCTCGATTTCCACAGCGATAGAGGCCCTCTTCCTCGCACCATCTCGGCCTACGAATGTCGAACGACAACCTAGACTGAATATGAATCCAGACGAACAACAACAAATCCGAACCAGATTCGGGTGAACCAGCTTGCCAATAACCCGGATCTGTTTGGTTCTCGTATTCCTGGAACCGATGCAGGCCGCTCGCGCTCTCTCCGATGCGGTGGACGGCCAAGGCGGTGCCGTCGTCCAACACCTCTCTGACTCGTCACTGTCGTCGCTTTGAGTTGTACATACCTTTCCGGCGTCTTACCACTCGCTCTGAGTTGTACATACCTAACGCCGGTGAGCCACTCGACGGTGAAAGCGTCGAGAGTGGCCACCAGCCATGGATCAGCTCACACTCTCTGAACCTCTGTAGCCCGAAGACTTAATTGTACGGCTGGAACGGCGCCTTGGTCGAAGAACGAAGCAATGGAAGGGCTACTAAAGTTGAAAAGACTATTTTGCCCCTTAATTTAACATCTACTTAACCTTCAGTTGATGGAAGGACTAAAATTAGAAATATTTTGAAAATCAAGTGTCTAAATTGTCCAAATTAAAAAGTCAAGGATCAATTATAAAAAATTAACATAGTCAGAGGACCATTATTGAAATTAACTCTAGATTAAATGGCGACTCACCAGAATTTCGCTTATTTTGATCTTTTACATATATTAAATGGTGACTCGTCATGATTCCATTACTTATTTTCGTAGATTTTGTCAACGTTGTTTGATTTAAATTTGCCAAAAATAATGAATTCTTTCATTTGTAACTTTTCTCTATAATAATTAAATTTAAAAAAAAAAAACCAAGAACCTTGTAGTCTAATGGTACAATGTACGTTGCTCTCCTATGTGGGAGGTGATAGGTTTGAGCCTTAGTGGAGGCCTATAATTGGGTATCCCTTTCAATTTCTCCATTAAACTAGCTGTTAGCACTTGTGAATGATAGGGGTGGACGTTTCGGACTTTGGTTCGGTTTTTCAGTTTCGATTTCGATTTTAAAAAAATTAAACCATTCGTTTAACATTAGAGTTTAGTTTTGGTTTCGGTTCAGTTTGAAACTGTAAGTGTACATATTTTGTACACACTAAACCTATATTGGCTAATTTATTTTTATAAATAATAGACTTAGGATTAGCCAAAAACTCTTGGACCATTGTTATTTATCATAAGAGTCTTTTTAATTGGGTGGCTCACAATTAATGTCTATGAAGAGGAAGTCAGTGATTAAAGTATGGTTCAAGCTAATTATGAGGATCTGATTTAAATGAATGGCAGAGAATGATTCAAGCATGGAATGAAGCTATTCACGTGGCTGTTTAATGGAAGAGTTATTGCTATAAATAGGAAGGTTACTAGTTGTGGAAAATTGTCATTTTCAACAGTTACTATTTTGAGAATTGATCACTGCTTGCATGTTGAGAATTAATTATTATATTATTATTCTGCTGAGCTACTGACTGCGCCTGACTCAGTTGAAGTATTGTTCGAAGGTTATCAAGGCATGCACGTCAAGGTCCAGGTTGGATGTTGGGAAGGTTGTTTGTAGTATGGCAGTTAAGACTGTGAGAGTCTAATGTACTGTTCTATTGTAAAACTCCTTGGTGAACATCAATAGTGGATTAGGCTGACGTGGGTTGCCCCGCAGACGTAGGAGAAGCGCTCCGAACTGCGTAACAAATCTTTGTGTACTTGATTTACTTACTGCTTTTATTTTCTGTTATTTACTATCATTAAATAATAAAAATTAATCGATCAAAATCTAATATAAGTTTAAAAATCAAGTAGAAGTTCAGGTTCAGCTAGTTTAAGGTTCACGGCATAATTTCAATTGGTATCAGAGCCTGGAGGCTTAAGTTACTAGTCTTTCGATCTGGCTTTTACGTGTGCCTTATTTTTTAGTGTTCTGCGGTTTTTAATACTATTCTTCTTGTTATTACTTTGTTCAATCTCACTTGTTGCTAAGTGTTTCAAAATGGAAAGGTTCAGGCCACTTCCCCAGCTTACAGGTAACAACTACGCATACTGGAAAGCTCGAACAAGAACTCACCTTAAAGCTCAAGGAGATCAGATTTGGCGGGCGGTACTGACTGGTTGGACACCACCTACAAAACCTGGAGAAAAAGACGGTGATCCACCAGTGATAAAACCTGAAACCGAGAGAACTCAAGCTGAAATTACTACTGCTGGATATAACGATAAGGCTCTTGACACAATCTATTCCTTAATGCATGAAAATCAATTTTCGTTGGTTACAGGTATTGATTGTGCAAAAACTGCGTGGGAAATACTCGAAACCACCTATGAAGGTACGAGTTCAGTCAAACAGTCAAAGCTTCAGCTGGTAAAGACTGAATTTGAAGAACTACGTATGAACGATGACGAAGATATTGCGAGTTTTCACGAACGCATACAAGAGTTTGCTAATCGAGCAACAATTCTTGGAAAACCTTTCTCCCAACAAAAACTTGTCAAAAAAATCCTAAGATCTTTACCTCCGAGATTCAAGAACATGATGGCTGGGAGAACAAATCAGTGGCTCAACTAATGAGCAATCTTCGAACCTACGAAATGGAAATTCTTACTGATCACACCAAAAAACAAAAGACAGTTGCATTTGTCGCTGAAGAACATGATGATACCGCTAACCCAGACGAATCAGGTGATGATCCAGTTACATTTTTAACTAAACAATTTTCTAATTTTTTGAAACAGATATCTCAGAAGAATTCACAAAACAAAAAATTTCAAAAGGAGCAAGCTCAAACATGTCGAAAACCGATACAAAAACTAGCATGTCAAACTCAAAATCTGCTGCCTCACGTCCAGCCCGCTCCAGGGAAAAATCAAACAACAAAGGAATAAAATGTTACGAGTGTGAGGGCTTTGGTCATGTTCAAGTTGAATGTCCAACTTATCTTAGGCGAAAGAAGTCCATGACAGCCACAACTTGGAGTGATGACGAACCTGAATCAGAAGCTGCTGGCTCTGGCGCAGAAGAAATGTTCGGTAATTTTGTAGCTTTTACTACTAGAGTTGCGACATGTTCAGGACCTGGAGATGCATCTGACACGGATGGTGGTGAATACAACTCGGCGGAAGACCATGAAATACCAGATTTATCTTATGAAGTAGAGTTTAACAAGTTGTATCCCAAGTGAGAAGCATTACTTAAAGCAAATCGTATAGTGTCTAGTGAAGTTAGAGTATTGCAAAATGCTGTAAACGTGTTCAAAGGTCAAGTAGCAGATAGGGACGCATTAATTAAAGAATACACTGACCGAGAAGACAACCTGAAACAGGAAGTCAAGGAACTGAAGCTGGAACTGAGTACTTACAAAAAGAAAATCCAAATGACGGATACCACTTCAACTCTTGATGAAATTCTTGGTTCTGGACGGCAATCATGTGCAAGGTTTGGTATTGGCTTTACTGGAGGAACCAACAAAGACAAAACTACTTTTGTCAAGACATCTGATCCACGTCCAGAAGATACTCCTGAGTCAAGCACAGCTAAACAATATCGTGAATCAGCGCCGGCCACTAGCTCAGCATGGCGAACACGAGGTACAGTACATAACAAGTTTAACTATAAGGTATATAATCCAGTGTGTCACTATTGCAGGTTACGAGGACACATCAGACCTGAGTGTTATTACTTCTACAAAGAACAAAGGGCCGAAAAACATAGCCATAAGTACATTACTCCATTTATCAAACAAGTATGGGTAAAGAAATCCGATTATATCATTTTTGTATCATTTCACACTAAAAATGCAGGTAGGGATGAAAAATGGTACTTCGACAGCGGTTGCTCACGTCATATGACTGGAAATGCAAAATTTCTAAGTGACATAAACACAAGCAACGGTGAAGTAACTTTTGGTGATGGAGTCAAAGGACAAGTAACCGGAGTAGGTACTCTAAATGTTGCAGGTCTACCGAAGTTGAAAAAGGTGCTACTGGTAAACGGACTCCATGCCAACCTCATAAGCATTAGCCAACTTTGCGATCAAAACTGGAATGTTAGCTTCACCAATGACAACTGCAGTGTTATGGATAATGAAAAACAGTGTGTTATTGAAGGTAAGCGATCAACAGACAACTGCTATATTCTAACAAATGATATCTTCTGTTGCAGGTCCAGCATAAATGAGTCTGAGTTGTGGCATAAAAAATTAGGGCGTCAGCAATCCAGCTAATTAAATTTCTTTTTGCCCGTGTAATAAAATTTCAGGTACACTAATTCACAAATAAATATTACTTAGTGTTACAAATTTTTTTTTTTCTCTCGTGTGCAGATTAAGCCTTAAGGCTAAACAGGCATAAAAACTATCTTGAATTCACGTTTTAAAAGCCAAGTGTTCAGGTCTTATTAGTTTCTTATCTATCCACCTTATCTTTATCTTGAATTCCCTAAAGATGATGTTTGTTTTGATATTATTGTGCATATATCCTTTTGATCATGAATTATCCATTCTAGTTTATATATATATATATATATATATATATATATATATATATATATATATATATATATATATATACGTGTATCTCTGGATTCATTAAATCATCAGGTACTTTTAATCTTTCAGATTCTTTCTCTTTACTTGTTCATTTATTTTAAAGTGTTCGTTTAATTTGCTTGGGTTATTCTTTATGTTTTGTTATTGGCTGTTTCTGTGTGTTCACTAAATGTCATATCTACGTTGTGTTGGTTGTTTTTGTTAATTCTTTGATTATGCCTTTTTGTTGGTGTTTTTGTGTTAAAATATGTTTGCTTGAATGATAAATTTGGTGCAATTTGATTAATGTGTTTATTTCTCTGTGTTATTTGTTTGGTCCGGTCATGACCGTGTGTGTTTTTGTTTGGTTGTGTGTTTTTCATGCTATCTGTTGTGATTCTGTGTCTGAATCATCTTATTGTCTTGTTTGACCAAAATTGAAAATTTCTTGAATTTTTGTGCTTCTTTGTTATTTGCTAAGTCATTTTCAAGATTGCATATACCTTGTTCTGTGTTTCTCTTTTCTATTTTCACTTGTGCAGGTTCATGTGGCAAAAGATTTCGTAAAAAGCAAAAAGGAACTATTATAGAGCTATTCCCTCTATTTCATCATCAAGCAAAAGTTATCTGGTATTAGTTATTGGATTATCTTTATATGGTTTCTCTTATTGGCTTTAGTGGATATTATTGGATATCGGATTATCTTTTTGGTTGAAAATCTTCAGATTATTAGATTATCCAAGTTAACATATTATTTGGGTTATCATATCCTTTGGATTATCATGTTATTCAGACTTTCGTGTTATTGGTGGTGTGATAGGTTTTTATAAAGAATATCTGAATGGTTTTTCTACTATTGCGAACATGGAATGAATATGACAACACTATCTTCTTGGTGTATGATAATTACTATTGATCAATATGGATGAATGTTGGATAAGTTTCTTGCTATTTTACGAGAAAGAAGGTCGGGCACCCCGTCAACTCACTAGTCTAATCCACTGATTTGATGTTCACCAATCTTTTTTGTCACTTATTTGGCAAAAAAAGGGGAGTAATAGAAAGGAGTTTTTGAAGAAAGGGGGAGTTTTATGAGAAAGGGGAGTTTTATTTGGTTAACTTTTTTGGAATATGAAATAAGGGAAGATACAAGAAAGGGGGAGTAGTAGGAAAGCATGATGACTGCGACATATGGAATTTTTTTTAGTATGGCTTGTCTAATACTCTATTATGCTACACTTCTTTTGGTAATCTCTGACTTATATATCTCTTCAGTTTATGGCTATTATTATCAGTTATTGGTTATTATTATCTAAACAGAAAATCTATTGTTATTGGATGATCAGCTTTTATTTAGCTAATCTTTCTATTGGTGATCAACTATTCTATCTGAATATTGAAGTTTTTGGGGTTCATATACAGCACACATATTCTCTGAAAATTAATACTATGAGTTCATGGAACATGGTCTACAAGAGTTTTTTGGTAATAATTTTTTCTTACCTTAGGTTATTGTATGGCACATATACTAAGGGCTTTTTAATAAAATTATTGTATCTTTCTTGTTTGCCCAAAGTATAAGATGCTATAGTTTTTGCCAAATAAATTGCCAAAGGGGGTGATAACGGTTTGATTTCGGTTCGGTTTAAGATCCTCAAATTTCAACATTTCCTAATTTTGTGAACATACTACCAAACAATACATATTCACATAATCACATAATCACATAATCCATATCCAAAATCTAAACATTATATAACAAAATAGCAATTCAAAGTTCAAACATACTACTAAGTACTAATTGTGAAGTAAAGAACAATTGCAGCAAACAACAAAAGTGCAAAGTAGAGAACAAGCTATAAAGAAATCAAATAAAAAATTTAAAAGAGATACCAGTGAGAATGGGAACTAAACGCTGGAGCAGACATCAAGGGACTTAGATTTACTTTTTTTATTATTATTATTATTATTATTATTATTATTATTATTATTATCATTATTATTATTATTATTATTATTATTATCATCATCATCAAACGCTATTCGGTTCGGTTTGATTTTTACCAAATCGTTCGGTTCAGTTCAATTTACTAGAATCCCGAATTGTTTGAATTTTCGGTATATTACTAATTCGGTTCGGATACATCGAACAGAATTACCTACCCTAGTGAATGATATGGAGAAGTCCGAGCAGCTTCACAAATGATGTTCACTTTCTCTATTTAGATTAAAAAATAAAAATAAAAAAATTAGTAAAGCATATTCCAGGTGAGTGGTGAAATTTGCAATAGCAAAGGAAGCACAATTCTAACTCTGTAATGTAAAACTTCACATTTCATTTTTTTTTTTTATCACGAGTATAATATTATTTTTCATTTTTGATACATTACTTCAAAATCAATCACTTTTAAGCTTTCTTTGGAGTCATCCTTCTCTCGAATACTGGAGATTTCTTCTGTCGAATACTGGAGATTTTTTGGCTAAGAATAGCCCATTACGATGCTTTGATGATCCTCATACGGCGGAAGCATTAGGAGTCAAAGAAGTCTTGTCATGGAAGAAAGATGAAGGTTGGCAAAATGTTCAGGTTGAGGGGTGTCTCTCCCTTGTCAAACACTTTGAATCAGTGTCCTAACCTTTCGATTTATTCGTAGATCAACGAATGTGTTAGCCCATTCTCTTTCTAGGGTTGTGAGGTCTCAATGTGGTTTTTTACTTTGAAACTCTACTATTCCTACTTGTATTGGCATTTATTTCCCATTGCTTAATATATATTACCATTTTTTATATAAAAAATACTCAATTATTGTAATAGTACAAATTTTAGTCTTCTATTAACCTTCCAATTATATGTCCGGCAAAAATTAAGTCACACACACACACCATGAGAACTACGGACTACTCTTATTGTTCATCTTGTAATGTCTAATTGTGTATTTAGAAATTCTCCTTGAAATGCACGGTTAAGTATTTTCCTAAAATGCGATGAAATTTTTGTAATACTTTTGTAATTACAATTAGTATCTTGTAATACCTGATTAAGCATTCGCAGATAACTAATTGTGCATTTAGAAAATTTTCTCCGAATTCACTTTCAATTATTTTCCAAATACACAATCAAACATTTCCATATATATATATATATATATATATATATATATATATATATATATATATATATATATATATATATATATATATATATATATATATATATATATACTAGTTTTTTACGCGCATTGCGCGATTGGGATAATGCCCAATGTTTTTTTTTTTTAAATAAGTACTTTAAAGTATATTAAGAATTAAGAATTTGCGTATTTAAATAGGTAATTCTTCTCCCAAAGGTTGAGTCCCCAACCCCAAGGGCCCCCCACACTCCGACCCGACAGAGCATTGTGGGAAGTTGTAAATCACGGTGACTCAATGGTTCAGCAGACAGGACCAAATGCCGGTGCGAACAAGGAATCTGCCCACTTTGGACATAATTCCCGCACTGCCGCCGCCGAGGTTCAAACCTTGGTCTCTTCTCCCAAATACTGCCCACTAAACCATTGAGCTAAGCCCGTGCGGGTTAAATAGGTAATTTCTAAGTTTACAAATGCAAGATAATATAGTCAAGATTGATTATAATTGTCAATAAAATAATTGTATAGGTATGGTTGAAACCAAATACGGGACATAAGGGAGAACAAATAAAAATTAGGGCATAAAATATTAAATATATACTAATATTGTTTGAGGAGATTTCAACATTAGGATTTGTGGTTAAGTTCTATTAAGACTTTAATATTAGAATTAGATTAATGATGTAATTATAATTCTATATTAGACGTTAATATTAGAATTAGACTAACGGTGAATTAACGGTATTTAACGGAAAAGTTAAATGGATAATCATATAATTAAGGATAAATTAGAAAAACTTTAAAAAAAATTAAAACTTGAACAATTTGAACCATTCATTTGATTTAATAATTTGGCGGTCATTTTTTCTACCTAATGTTAATAATTAAATAAATTCGTTGGTCAAATCCGCTAACTGCGAATTGTCAAACAAGGACATTGCAAGGTAGTTCTCACTTCAATTTGTTGTGTGATTTGAATACTCTCTTTATCACAAAATCTCTCAAGTAGTTAATATGGTTGGCTTTATTAATTATATATATATTTTTTATTTTTTCATGGTATTAATAAAATACTTCGTAAATAAATATATAGCATTATTTTGTATTATAACTTTGAAATTTAATTAGAAAAATAGTGCACAAAAAAGATAATAGACAATGTAGTGAATATAATCAATTGATGAATTTGAATGTAAAAATTTTTACATTTGAGAAAAATAAAGACAATATAACTAATGAAAATATTTCTCTTAATTAATTTATTGATAATGAATAAATTTTTTTTCACTAAATTAACTAAATTAAGACTTGTAAGGACAATGTAGCGAACATAATCAATTAATAAATTTGAATATAAAGAATTTTTATATTGTAGAAAAATAAAGACAATATAACTAATACAATTATTTCTCTTATTTAATTTATTGATAATGAATAATTTTTTTTTTTTTGAATAAAGGCATTGTGGACACATAATTCTAAATTAAAGAAATGCATATCTATAATTTTTTGTTGTAGCTACTAAATTATTATTTATATAATAATTTAATAAGAGTAAAATAGAGTACTAATTATGCCAACTTTGATTGGGATGAGGTTCGAACCTAAGACCTTTTTTTTTTTATTGAAATCAATGAGTAAGTTAACGGTGAACTAACGACAATTCTTAAAATTTTAACGGAATTAGTAACGGTGTGTGGGTATTTTAGGAAATTTTAGTATAAAATTTAAATCTTATCAATCTTTTAATTAATCTGAGCCATTCATTTGATTAAAATCTGTGACCGTCATTTTTTTTCCCATTATAGGCCTAACTCTCTTGGGCTCTTATTAGTATAGTAGATATATATAATTAGGTTCTGGTACGGTTGTGCGGTTTAATCTGGGTCATTCATCTCGCTTAAATCAACGTCCAAGATTACCAAAATTTAAGAAAAAAACGCAGTGGCAATTTTTTAATTTTTGCATCTAGGTCAAAATTAAGGTGAGCGGTTCTGTGATTAATGTGCATGAGTTTTGTATATAAGATGCGTGAGTCTTGTGCGTAAGGTGAGTGAGTTTTGTGCTTAATATGCGTGGGGTTGTGCTTAATGTGAGTAGTTGTTAAAACTTAAAGTGTGGACTTTTTGTGCTTAAGGTGCGTGAGATTTGTTCTTAATGTGAGTAGAGTTTGTGCTTAATGCGCGTAGGGTTTGTGCTTAATGTGTGTGAGGTTAGTGAATAATGTCAGTAGTTGTTGCAACTTAAGGTCTATGAGTTAATACTTAAAGTGCGTGTGTTTTGTGCTTAATGTGCGTGAGGTTGTGTGCTTAATGTGCGTGGGTTTTGTACTTAATGTGCGTAAGTTTGTGCTTAATGTCAGTAGTTGTTGAAATTTAAGGTCTGTGAGTTAATGCTTAAAGTGCGTGGGTTTTGTGCTTAATGTGCGTGGGTTTTGTACTTAATTTGCGTGAGTTTGTGCTTAAGATCTAACACTTAAGGTGCGCCATTTTTAGCTTATGCTTCTTACTTACAGACACGCGTTTTTTTTTTTAAATTTTAAATTAGCCGTTGATCTAGATTTGATCAACGGCTTAGATCTAACCGC